CCCTTTTCCCCTTCAGAGTACGGTTAATTAAACTCTCACAAAGCCGGGGCAGCACAAAGCAATTTCCCTGCTCAGCACAACCCATGGAGGCCTTTCACTTTTTGGCCGGAGTAAGGGATCTGCATCCCACTGCTTGCTCTGTATCGCCTGTCCCCCCAGCACGTGCACGTGCACGTCCCACCCCTGTCCACCCTTGTTATCAAATGGGCTTTGTCATAAGACCAGCTTGGCCCTTAAAAGAAGAAAGAGCCCTTGGGCTTCAGGCCAGACTCTGTTAAAATCAGCCCTTGAGCCTGTCTCCCTGAAGGGCCGAGCTCTTGCAGCTCCTCACACGCCGTGGGGTGGGACCTGCACGGGCAGGAATGACTCTGTGGCACGTGAGCCTGCATCCAGTTATTAGTAGCACCACAGCAGCTGGTCTTTAAAATCCCGAAGCTGCTGCTGTCTGCTCTGCAGCAGTGTTAGTCAGATTTTTAGCCTGAAATGGTTTGATTTTCCCTTTTAATTTTAGTGGGGGTGGGGAGGGCAAGTAATTAATGCAGCAGTGCTGCCTTGGTCTTAAGCTTGTATAGGGAGAGTTGTGCAGCCCCGACTCACCCGAGGGCCAGCTGGAGTCTTGCACGCTGAGATTTGCTTCCCGGGGCTTCAGCATCATCAGACTGGGACACACAGCCTTGACAGGCAGCTGGGGTGAACGTGTGTCCTTCCTTTTCCTTGAGGACAGGGACAGAGGGGGTTTTGCCTGCTTTCACAAGCTGCTGACAGGACAGGGAGTGCAGGAGGGTCTCAGTCCTGTTGTCCCCTTCCCCAGCACTGCTGATGTCCCCATGTACTCTGTCACCTGGAGGAAAGGGCTGTCCAGGTCATCATCACATGGGGCAGTTTCTCTTTTGCCCCCTCCTGCAGACAAAAGCAGCACCTGCAGCTCCAGATGGGCACGGGCTGGGCTAGCCTCGCTCAGCAGGTCAAGGGGAACGTGAAGAGGCATGAAAGGGGAGCAGTGTTGTGCCTGGAGCAGCTGTCTCCCGGCAGGACATTCCCCTCCACTGGCCAAGGCTGGGGCTGGCTGGAGCAGGACGGGGGATAACAAAGCCCCCAGCTCTTGCTCTGAGGCTCTGGAGCACTGGAAGCAGGGCAGAGGGAGCAGGAATCATCCCAGGGTGTTGGGAAGGATGATGTGCAGGCTGGGAGACTGGGCAGCAAAAGGGCCACCTCCTCACCTCTGCCTGCACCATCCACAGCACCATGCTGTGTGTTTGGTGCTGTCACTTCCTACCTATGCCCTGGCACACCTGTCGGGCTGAATTTGGACCCAGGGTGGGTCCTGTTGCAGGGCCATGTTGTCCTGGTTGATGTTCCTGTTAGGACAGGACGGTGTTGGCCTCTGACTTACAGAGTCATTAAGGCTGGGTAAGACCTCTGAGATCATCTAGTCCAGCCATCTATCCAACACCACCATTACCACTAAACCATGTCCCAAAGTGCCACATCTACATGTTTTTGAACACTTCCAGAGATGGTGACTCCACCACTTCCCTGAGTGACCCGTTCCAATGCCTCGAC